TTAAACAATTTCCTTTGTAAATATGTATTTTATAGGTATATAACTTCAACAAATTTCAGTCATTTATCATATGTAATAGTCACTACTAGTTGGCCGTTTACGAGTGAGATTTCATTCACTTAAAAGGCGATATCCACTGACAAACAATCTGTACCGATTCGTAGAAGCTGTAGGTATCGCTTAAGCATATAAAATTATCCAAATGGTAATTTATTCTGTAAAACATTCGAATCACGGCTTTTTCGAAAATGTAACTTTTTCTAGTTGGAAATGACTTAATTATGAAAAACTTGCATAAGAGGGGAAGACCTTTCTTTGTAAATATTTTGTTAGATTGCACTTCACAGTTGACAGTTCGTGTTGACAGTCGCCATCTCAATTTCCATTAACAATTAAACTCCCATAGTGCGGTTTTTAGTTAAAAAAAAAAGGTATATTTATAAGTAATTCAAAAGAAAACGTTGGAGGAAGGGTGTTTTAAACAATTTCCTTTGTAAATATGTATTTTATAGGTATATAACTTCAACAAATTTCAGTCATTTATCATATGTAATAGTCACTACTAGTTGGCCGTTTACGAGTGAGATTTCATTCACTTAAAAGGCGATATCCACTGACAAACAATCTGTACCGATTCGTAGAAGCTGTAGGTATCGCTTAAGCATATAAAATTATCCAAATGGTAATTTATTCTGTAAAACATTCGAATCACGGCTTTTTCGAAAATGTAACTTTTTCTAGTTGGAAATGACTTAATTATGAAAAACTTGCATAAGAGGGGAAGACCTTTCTTTGTAAATATTTTGTTAGATTGCACTTCACAGTTGACAGTTCGTGTTGACAGTCGCCATCTCAATTTCCATTAACAATTAAACTCCCATAGTGCGGTTTTTAGTTAAAAAAAAAAGGTATATTTATAAGTAATTCAAAAGAAAACGTTGGAGGAAGGGTGTTTTAAACAATTTCCTTTGTAAATATGTATTTTATAGGTATATAACTTCAACAAATTTCAGTCATTTATCATATGTAATAGTCACTACTAGTTGGCCGTTTACGAGTGAGATTTCATTCACTTAAAAGGCGATATCCACTGACAAACAATCTGTACCGATTCGTAGAAGCTGTAGGTATCGCTTAAGCATATAAAATTATCCAAATGGTAATTTATTCTGTAAAACATTCGAATCACGGCTTTTTCGAAAATGTAACTTTTTCTAGTTGGAAATGACTTAATTATGAAAAACTTGCATAAGAGGGGAAGACCTTTCTTTGTAAATATTTTGTTAGATTGCACTTCACAGTTGACAGTTCGTGTTGACAGTCGCCATCTCAATTTCCATTAACAATTAAACTCCCATAGTGCGGTTTTTAGTTAAAAAAAAAAGGTATATTTATAAGTAATTCAAAAGAAAACGTTGGAGGAAGGGTGTTTTAAACAATTTCCTTTGTAAATATGTATTTTATAGGTATATAACTTCAACAAATTTCATAGTCATTTATCATACTTAATAGTCATTACTAGTCTACTGACAAACAAATACTACATACGCATATATAATTATCTAAATGGTAATTTATTCTGTAAAACATCTTTTTGGAAGTGACTTAAAATGGCCTAATTATGAAAGACTTATATGAAAAAATCTACAACATACTAAAATTTAAAGTTCATCGGTCGTATGCAAGCTCAGCGATAGTATTACCCAAATTTTTATCGAATATTTCAGGGGTAAAGGAGGGAGATAATTATTTCCTACCTTAATTTAACTTAGACTTACATTTTGTTAAGGTGGGAGACAGTCTCCTCGCTGCCAGAAGACTGACAAGAAGCGGGTGGTGATAAAACGAAAATGGGAAAATGAAAATATAATCGGGGTAGTTGTTGAAGGTCAAGTGGGTTTTCGGTGGATTCGAACGAAATTCTAAGAAGTTTTTTATGATTCCTGTGCCAGGCAGAACATCCGACACGCTGTTAGATCCTATTTAACAAAAAATTCTGCCTGGCACAGTTATCATGTCGGATTGTTAGAAAAATTAGCCTCTATAGTCACAATTATAAACATTTGACGGTGAACCACACATATAACTTTGTGCAAATCGATGCACATAGGCAAAATATCAATAGAACTTGGCGGGATATCAAGTAAGACATCCCGAAATATGGACGCAGGCAAGTTAATTTTACAGGCTACCTTNTTTCATATTATATGATTGTTTTACTAACTAATATTACTATGTTAAACTTTTATTACACTCGGGAAAAGCACCTGCCAATAAATTTTTAGTGTATTATATTGAAATTAATGAGACTGTAAAAGTTGTTTTGATTTTATTTTTTTTTTTATTTTCTATGTCAGATTGAGATGGAAACGGTATAAATTAGATTTATTTTTTATTTTTAGGAAAGTATGACCTGGACTTTAAAAACCCTAATTCCGATAAAAATAACTGGTTAACACCTGACCAGCTTTTGGATGTTTACTTAAGCTTTTTGAAGGAATTTCCAGTTGTTTCTATTGAAGATCCGTTCGACCAAGATGATTGGAATGCTTGGTCCACCATTACTGCGAAAACAAATATTCAAATAGTTGGTGATGACTTGACTGTTACTAACCCAAAACGTATACAAACAGCTGTTGAGAAGAAAGCTTGCAATTGTTTACTACTGAAGGTAGGTCTAAGTTTTAATTTACATTACAAGTATGCAATATATAATATATACATTTTTACCTTTTTGGTAAAACTTCCGTATGGTGGCTTTTTCGAAAATGTAACTTTTTCTAGTTGGAAATGACTTAATTATGAAAGACTTACATAAGAAAAGACCTTTTTTTTTGTTTTTTTTTGTAAATATTTTGTTAGACTGCACTTCGCAGTTGACAGTTCATTTTGACAGTCGCCATCTCAATTTCCATTAACAATTAAACTCCCATAGTGCGGTTTGTAGTTAACAAAAAAGGTATATTTATAAGTAATTCAAAAGAAAACGTTGGAGGAAGGGTGTTTTAAACAATTTCCTTTGTAAATATGTATTTTATAGGTATATAACTTCAACAAATTTCAGTCATTTATCATATGTAATAGTCACTACTAGTTGGCCGTTTACGAGTGAGATTTCATTCACTTAAAAGGCGATATCCACTGACAAACAATCTGTACCGATTCGTAGAAGCTGTAGGTATCGCTTAAGCATATAAAATTATCCAAATGGTAATTTATTCTGTAAAACATTCGAATCACGGCTTTTTCGAAAATGTAACTTTTTCTAGTTGGAAATGACTTAATTATGAAAAACTTGCATAAGAGGGGAAGACCTTTCTTTGTAAATATTTTGTTAGATTGCACTTCACAGTTGACAGTTCGTGTTGACAGTCGCCATCTCAATTTCCATTAACAATTAAACTCCCATAGTGCGGTTTTTAGTTAAAAAAAAAAGGTATATTTATAAGTAATTCAAAAGAAAACGTTGGAGGAAGGGTGTTTTAAACAATTTCCTTTGTAAATATGTATTTTATAGGTATATAACTTCAACAAATTTCAGTCATTTATCATATGTAATAGTCACTACTAGTTGGCCGTTTACGAGTGAGATTTCATTCACTTAAAAGGCGATATCCACTGACAAACAATCTGTACCGATTCGTAGAAGCTGTAGGTATCGCTTAAGCATATAAAATTATCCAAATGGTAATTTATTCTGTAAAACATTCGAATCACGGCTTTTTCGAAAATGTAACTTTTTCTAGTTGGAAATGACTTAATTATGAAAAACTTGCATAAGAGGGGAAGACCTTTCTTTGTAAATATTTTGTTAGATTGCACTTCACAGTTGACAGTTCGTGTTGACAGTCGCCATCTCAATTTCCATTAACAATTAAACTCCCATAGTGCGGTTTTTAGTTAAAAAAAAAAGGTATATTTATAAGTAATTCAAAAGAAAACGTTGGAGGAAGGGTGTTTTAAACAATTTCCTTTGTAAATATGTATTTTATAGGTATATAACTTCAACAAATTTCAGTCATTTATCATATGTAATAGTCACTACTAGTTGGCCGTTTACGAGTGAGATTTCATTCACTTAAAAGGCGATATCCACTGACAAACAATCTGTACCGATTCGTAGAAGCTGTAGGTATCGCTTAAGCATATAAAATTATCCAAATGGTAATTTATTCTGTAAAACATTCGAATCACGGCTTTTTCGAAAATGTAACTTTTTCTAGTTGGAAATGACTTAATTATGAAAAACTTGCATAAGAGGGGAAGACCTTTCTTTGTAAATATTTTGTTAGATTGCACTTCACAGTTGACAGTTCGTGTTGACAGTCGCCATCTCAATTTCCATTAACAATTAAACTCCCATAGTGCGGTTTTTAGTTAAAAAAAAAAGGTATATTTATAAGTAATTCAAAAGAAAACGTTGGAGGAAGGGTGTTTTAAACAATTTCCTTTGTAAATATGTATTTTATAGGTATATAACTTCAACAAATTTCAGTCATTTATCATATGTAATAGTCACNTGTTATATGAATATAGGTTAAGTTACATTATTGTTAAAGTTTATGATTTTATTTTAAAAAAAAAAAAAATACAGTTCGATGCATTACAGCATTAACTTCTTCAATTGTCAAAATGCCTTAAACACTATAGAATAATGTTCATTTGTGTATTTGTAATAAACATTTTATTTGAACTTATGATTCTTTTGGAGAAAAGAAAATGTGTGATTATACAAATGGCGTCTAGAATTTTTTTTTGGGATTTGCTTGGTCGGAGTCGCGGGTATCACGTAATTCGGCGGTGACATTATCTTCTTAACATACGTATGGCTAAACAAGCCCCTCATTAGCACCGCTCCATTAAGAACAATAACCTTAATATTTTTTTTAAGGTCGTTTTTTACACTATGGGACAGACGTGTTAACATATGGCTTTAGTACTCAATCATGTGGTAGTATTTATTCAATGCAATGTTTTTTTATACAGGTCTGCGCTGTTATTCACCGGTTACTATGCATCAATTTAAGTCGCATCGACGCATTTCACCCTCGGAATGTTCTGGGCTTCAATATGTAAAAAGCGCCACATTTTGCTTATCATCGCCACATTTGCATTGCAGTTTAACTGTAACATTTCAGAAACTACTTCCGGAGATACAGCGTTTTGGAAACAAAAAGCGTCAATATAGACGCTGTCGCGGTAGTCCAAAGTGTCAAATAGAATCTTTCTTCCTAAAAGTGAAGCTACATTTTGCGGTATTGTCATTATATCCGTGACAAAATTCCACGAAAGCACTGCTGAAAGATAATTTCTAACGCGCCCAGACATTGTCGATAAGTTTTTTTTTTCAATGTCACAACTACACTTTTTCATTATGTACTTCACCTCAACGGTACATTTAAAGCAATCCATCACAATTACTACTTCTTATTTTATTTACATTTACGCACATTAAAACTACTACAAACGTTTAAAATACAATTTATGTCTAACCTAACCTAATATAAAATAAAACACGATTAAGCGGGTATCATATCGAACGAACAAAACTTAAACTATAGAAACGAACTCAGAAACAGTCGAGTGGTGAAAGCATCGACCTATACTAATGGACGTGCCATAGCCGTATGTCAATGTAATAATTTCTTGGCTCGAAAAGAGTGAGGTAGATGGCGTATAGTTTCGGACTAGCGCCATCTCTTTCATTACACGCGATTGGCTCGGTTTTCACGACAGAAACGGCATTTGCGCCCTCAGTACTACATAAGTACGCATACCACAATTCTGATCGCTAAGGCACGTCCATTGGTATATGTTGATGGATGGAAGCATCGACGTTTACTAATGGACATGCCTTAGCGATCAGAATTGTGGTACAATAAAAGAAAGAGATGGAACGATGTTTCGGACAATATCCATCTCTGCCACGATAGTGGGTAAGCGTGTCATGAAAGAGATAGCACTAGTCCGAAACCATACGCCATCTCCCTCACTTTTCGATCCAAGAAATTATTACGACATACGGCTAAGGCACGTCCATTAATATATGTCTATGTGTGGAAGTAAGTTCCCGTTGTGATATGGACAGCCGTGACTATTACCTATCACACGTCTGTGATTAGTGACTGTGAAATTTGCAAAGGTTATGTACTCATAAAATATTTATTTACATAAGAAATTGTTTAAAACACCTTCTCTTCGACTGTTTTCTTGTTCTTCTTCAATAAATATACTAATGTAAGCTTTTTATAAAATAAAAAAGTTATTTCCGGAAAAGGGGACGACTTTTATATAATAGCAGTTGTCAAAATGATCTGTCGGTTAAACTTCCAAATCGCGGTTTTTTCGAAAATGTAACTTTTTCTTAATAATAATAAATAAATAGATGCTGTTCCTATTTGAGGAAGAAAAAAAAAACTTTTGGGTGTTTCATTCCCACCAGCCAGTAATGTTGGTGGGCGGGCAGTCCCTCCGGACTATGCCGGAAGGTAGGGCGGAAGGTCCTCTTTAGCCTGCTTTCAGGAATCGTGGGAATGGGTGGGTGGTGGTTCGGGTGAGAAAGACGAGACGGACGAAATGAAGACAGAAGAGAGTGAAAGATTATCTGTGGAATATTACTGCCTCAGCATTTGCCTAAGTGATCCAAGGAAACCACAGAAAAACTTGGACCAAGGCAGACGGACCCGGAATCGAACCGGCGTCCTCCCGAATGCTAAGCAATGGTCTAGACCTCTAGGCCATGCCGCTCGGTGGAAGGGGGGCATTGTTGCATACCTTAACCTAACCTAACTTAAGTTGGTTTGTACTGTATTACGTTAAGTTGAGTAGGTTAGATTAAGGTATTCAACAGTGTCCCCCTTCCCCTATTTTATATACATACATTATATCTGTACCTTCCTCGAATGGTGATAATTTCGATATATTTAAATTGTATAAACAACTGTTGAGAGGGTATCACTTTTTAAGTGAATGCATCTTGAACTGTAGAGACGAAGTCAAAAACGGCTGAGTATTGACTGTTATCTATGATAAATGACTGTGAAATTCCTATAGGTTATATACTTGTATGGTACCTGTAAAATATTAATTCAAAAAGAAAATTATTTAAAACACCTTCCCCCTGATTATTTCATGTAAGTTTTTCATAATTAGGTCATTTTAAGTCATTTCCAGTAAAAAGAGTTGTTGCATTTTCGAAAAAGCCGTTTTACCAAAAATGCTGTTAATAATAAATTATTAGAACTGTTTATTATATACGTATACATTTAATGTCTGCATAGTAAAATAAATGGTTCAATGGCAACAAGGCTTACTTGGTATGCGTGCGGGCGCGGATTTTTAACGAAACTGTATGCGGGCATATGTTCTATATCGAATATTTCGGGGCGGAGGGGGTGGGGAGATAACTGTTTCTCACTTTACCTTAGCCTACTCTGTCATACCAAACCTAACATAACTTAAGCTTCTTCCTTATTCCACATTAGTCTAACTTAGATTAGGACAGTTACCTCCCCACTTCCTCCGAAATATTCTATAAAGTATATATGCCCACATATAATTTTATCAAAAAAATGTAAAAAAGAAAAACACTACTTGGGTGGAATTTGTGATAGGAAAATGTTAAAGTCAGACGTAGAGAACGTGCTCTGTGTGGAAAACCTTTTTCGAACAGTTTTACATAATGCTGTCGAGTGGAAATTTTGAAATTTAGTAAAAGAATACCTGGGACTACGGTCCTAATAACTTTGTAAGTTAGAGATAATTCCAAGAGCATCTTTGTTTTACTTTTTTTTTTAATTAAAATTACATTGATTTTATGAATTTTTCGTTACACCTATTGTTGGTATTTTAAAACTTTATGTTTTCTAAACAACAATACATAGGGAATTAAGAGATATCACTTGACTACCATTATTATTTGTAAAAATTTGGGGGAGAGATTTTGCTACGTTTTTGCGGCAAAAGTTGCCCTTTCTGAGAAACAGCCTTGACATGTTTTTGGATTTTGTCGATAAGTCCTTTCTCAGTCTGTAATGCCTTGCGGCAATAACTTACTTTGAGTTTGGACATTTAAAATTACACCAAATTTTTCTTCCACCCAAAATCGCCGGCATTATTATATTTTTTATTTTAAAACTAATATTTGGCATTCAGTGAAAGACTGATATTGATTGATATGGTCACATATTTGTAACTACTTTTTATAAAGGTTTCTGTTATTTTCAAAATTAATGGTACTTTACTGTTACACAAATTTCATATTTCATTCCAAAACTTGGACACGACTGACAAATTATCAAATCTGATGATGTCATTATGTGTTTTAAACCATACAGGGCTTTTTATAAAGAGTAACTACTTTTTTCGTAATTTTAATAAAAAAATTTCAACATATGCTAACTTAAACAGACATACTATATATACGTATATGTAGGAATACGGTGACATAGTACCACTAGTTTCAATAATATCTTGTTTATATGGCAACTTCAGTATGATCAGTAATTTATCGGAATTTACTATCCACATATGATAGTCTCGTTAGACTGTTGACTAATAACTTTATGTTCTTCTATCATGATTGCATACTACCCTTGATTTGATGTTAAAATGAAATACTTTTTAGGTGAACCAAATTGGTACTGTGACGGAATCAATTCAAGCACATTTATTGGCTAAAACAAATGGATGGGGAACTATGGTGTCTCACAGGTCTGGAGAAACTGAAGATACTTTTATTGCTGATCTTGTAGTTGGCCTTTCAACTGGCCAAATAAAGACTGGAGCGCCTTGCAGGTCCGAACGTTTGGCCAAATACAACCAAATACTGCGCATTGAAGAGGAGCTTGGAGCAAGTGCAAAATATGCCGGAAAATCATTTCGTAAGCCTTAATTGGCGATAAATGTCTATGGTCTTCTAGTAGATCTAATTCTAATATTTTATGTATTGTAAAAAGATGTACCAACAGCTTCAGAAATATAAATACTTCAATATACGTTCAATATATCTCTCATAGATTTGTTTTGACGCGGTTGCAGGGAGCTGTTCTTCAAGTTAAAAACATTTGATGATTGGGAAGAAGTTGTGCACAATTTTTTTTGGCACGTTATTGTGACTATCGAAAAAAGCTTGAAATTACCTCATAAATGTAATATTTACAGATAGGTAACATAAATAAACCTTTCAAATCAGTTTATTTATTTAATCGAAGAAATTGCCAGTGATCGTGATCATCAATAGTGGTAAGATCTTTTTTACTTACGTTATTTAAAATTCGTAACTTAATTCGAAGTGGTCTGTATTCGTAACTTACTTCATATTTTTTTTGTGTTACATACCAGTTACATTATATACAACGTAGGGACAGAAATCCGAATATGTACTTTATTTATTCCTTTTTTTAATTTGTGAAACCATAGAATGATCCAACATTTGTTGGAAGGGAAAACGCTAATCAGATCATTATATCTTTGGCTATACCGTGAATATTAGGTGTAAGTAACCTTAACAATATTACAAGTCAATGTTAAGTCAGTAATTTTGCATTAGTTAAAGGCCAACAAGCGCCATTTATACAAACTCAGGGGATTTAGGATTCGATACAGGTGTATCAGCAATAAAAATGAAATACCAAAAGTTGGGTGTTGGTACAGTCCGATATGGTCAAAGCATTGCACAAACAGATGGTGTAGGCTACGCTCTTGCATCGTCCGCCTTGACTAGGGAGAAAGAAGAGACTGTAATTGATTATAGCCACACCTTCGGTAGTGCATGTTAGAATACCTGTTGTCTCAATTTAGTCATTTATCAAAGGTCACAGGTCACAAGTAATAGTTTGTTTGTAAGTATTGGTGTCGATACATTTCATTGAAGGTCATTGCCTTTGTTATATTAGAATTCGAGGCCTCCCACTGAATTGTATCGCCTTTATTATATTGGGAGTTGAGACATCCCATTGAAGGGTATCACCTCTATTTATAAGGTTGCTCAATATATCCCACTGAATGATATTGCTTCTAATTTATGGCAGTTCAGAACTCCAAAAGTATGACAACTTGCATGGACTTCCTCTTCTTTAACCAATAAATTATACCATAAGTAATCCTACAATTATTGAAAATAAAGTGAATTAAATTACCAAAATACGTATTATAAAAACAAAGAGTAATAATTAAAGTTAATGTGAAAGCGATGGTAGCTATACACATTTGTTACGAGGCATAAAGGTGAGAATTTGAATAAGGTGGAAAAATCAAGTTATAAAATAGTAAAATTGTGCCAGTGGCATTAACCTTCGCTCTGAGTGTCATTGACTTCTGAAACATCTGGAAAGAACAGAGAGCTAGAACTGTACGAACAGGGACGAGCTTCGCTAACGGTGACAGAATAGCGTGTGATAGTGCTTTGGGTTTCTAGGACTTTAAATACGGCGATGGCGGACTTTATCAGCGTATGTTGCACGAAGAACCTCGGTGTTAGATGTATTTGACTAATTCTAAGTGAAGTAGTCTGATTCCGGTGTGATTTATGCTGCTTAGTAGGAAGAAGTTTAAGGTTAGCCAGTACGCCAGTAGAATGCGTTTCCTATGCCCCCCAATCGGTAGGTAACAGTACAGCGAGAGAGCTTTTGTTTTATGATGTAATATAGTAGTAGTATGTAAGTAGTACGTAATCGATGCTGCAGTTGTGGTACTGTTCCCATATATAATAAAGTATGTTACCTTGCTTATTAGAAAAAGTGTTTTCCAATTGTATTATTTATCCCGTACCTCCTTGACAAAACACTCGATAGGTGGCAATAGCCAGTCAGGTAATAGAGCAACGACCAGCGTTACCCAGACAGGCGACAACGAATCTATTTAAAATGTGGCAGAGCAACGAACGGACTCAGTGGAAGCCAGATCAAACCATAGACATATATTAATGGACGTACCTTAGCTGTATGTCATTGTAATAATTTCTTGACTCGAAAAGTGAGGGAGATAGCGTATGGTTTCGGACTAGTGCTATGTCTTTCATGACACGCTTACGCACTGTCGTAAAAGAGATGGATATTGTCCGAAACTTCGTTCCATTTCTTTCTATTGTTGTACCACAATTCTGACCGCTAAGACATGTCCATTAGTAAACGTCGATGGATCAAACGCAGGGCGTTGGACTGCACGCTACAACAGTCATATGACTCTATAACGAGTTACGGGAAAGAAATTTCAGTAGATGTTATCTCGAGCGTCAGTTAGGTAACCACATCCAATCAAACAAGGAAGGTACCATATCTCGAACGCTAGCCAGGTGACTGACTATATACCAATCAAGTAGGGATAAGAAAGCTATGCCAAATGTCAATCTAGTGACTATATTCAATCAAGTAACGGTATTATAGGAGAGTTGTCTCGAACGCCAGTCAGATGACCGCATCAAATTAAGCAAACGTAGAGAGCCAAAATATACAATTCCCAAGGGCTAGTCTTCCTCTTCCTTGCCAGGGCACCAACTAATTGAGATTTTACATGTAGCACCTGTCAATGTTTGGCTTATCCACACGTCACACTTACACATTTTAGCCATGATAGAATGAGGGACTCTCTGGGGTCTTCCCTTCGTCAGACGCATTGATCCCGGGAAGCCATGGATGCGGTGCCTGAGGGGTAACGAGGAGAGTAACCCCCTGGTTAGGGCCTATCCAAACACCTAAGCATTCAATGCAGAGACTGCCCAACGATCCGGGTGATCCGCTGCGCAACGCATGCGGGCTGTATCCAACTAACACTTCTGGTCCAACATCAATTGGCGGGGTAGGAATCTAAGCTAGACTCCTGGAGCTCCTCCGCCTCTCTAGTATTTATATTGGCCCTCTGGTCGCCTTCAGCTACTTCGGAGCTCCCGTCGCTGGGTGACATCCATTTTGCCGCATCCGCGCTATCACCGAATATCCTTCAGCCTTTTACCTCGTCCAAGCTGCTATGTTTTTCGTATCTACTCTGCTTCCGCCACAAGTGCGCACAGCCCCCCATATATGGCTACTCTGTCCAATATGCCTCACGTCGTAATCCTCCTGATGGATTATTTTACCTACTACTTTGTGAGCCCACTTGATGCACACCACTTGCCAGACATGTGCAGGGAGAGCGACTACCTAGAGCACCATTGATTTTTCTGTGCTTGTTGAGGTTCCCATGCGATTGTCACTAAAGGTGTTGGTGACCGCACCGAAAGAGCCTCTCTTTCGACTGGCAAGCTTTATTGTGGGGTGATCAGGCCCAACGTTAGTCTACCGCGTTTGTCTTTTAGCATCGTCATAACGTGCTTATAGGTATTGAGACCTCTACCGCGACAAGTCGAGGATCCTGGGGAGGTTCCTTACAGGGTAGATGGAATGTCAAAAACTATCTTTTCCATGGATGTTGTAGAACTTTTATACTCAAAAATCCTTCCCTTTCCACTGCGTAAGTTCCCGATTTAAGGGCTTCGCCTTGTTTTTCAATTGCTAGCCTAAACTTACAAACAATATCAAGAATGGCGACGATTTCCTATACAACACAGCTACATTTTGTCATTTACTAATGTGCTTTTTTCGTGTTCGACAGATTTCGATTAATCTAATACCATCACGACAATCCCTAAGGACTCGGTATTCTGCATAGCGCGGTGATTTTAAAAATCGAATGTATAAGGTGATTAATTTTCTAATTTATGGTTAAAACGATTAGTATATAAACTGATGACGGCATGTTTGGGGTTTCCTATAAGAGGCTTGTGACAGGTTCACTCAATCAAAGAAATTATTACGTCTTGATATTTTATTTGAAGTATTTGTAGTATAAATGATTAAATCATTATAAGTCGTATTCCCAATAAGCCTTTACCCTTCCAATCGGCTAATCCCCAGGATGCGAGCTTTGCTGTCCAAGCTGGTAGGTATGCGGCGTATCGAATTTGGGGACGTTAACATGTGCGGTATCTTTCTGTTACNGTCAAACCTACACTAGCAAGGAGATCGGGCTGAAACTATAGCTACAAGCTATCCAAGGATGGTACTATAGAATGTCACCTCAAGGTAGGCCTAGTGGCGTCATCTCTTGGTTAGGCCGGAAACTTATCAATCCACCCTCGTATTTCAGAACGCCCCAGCGGAGAGTTTTCTAACCCCAGCAAGACATATCATTGGGAGGTCCGCAAAGAAATAAAAACGATTTTGCTAAAATCGAAGATAAAACGGAATGATAGAAGAAAGGGAAATCAATATGGAAAAGAAGATATGTGAAAGGAAAGTCAAGATCGAAAAGATAGAAGAAGTGAGAGAACAAATGTAAGATGAGATTGAAAAACTAAAACTACCCTCTCTTACAAGGCCTAACGATTGCAGTACAAGACCAGCAAAAATTGCACCTCCAACATTCGATAGGAAGATCTCGTGGTCACTGCTAGTAACACAGGAGAATGGAACCTAAAATGTTAGAAATGTGGAAGTACTGGTTGTTTTGCTCGAAACGACGGATTACAGTGGTGGTCTGAAATGTTGGAATTGTGAGAAGGGTACCCTTGAAAGCACATTTAAAAGTCGTTTTGACATTTAATGCAGCTCTTTTTAAATAATATACAATTATTCTTTATAGTAGAACAAATGACACTACTTATATTCTTAGCATTCTAATGAATAAATACTCAAGAATTTCATTGTCAATCGTGTTATCTATGAAGTTACTGAATTATGTATATTGTAGTACATGCCATTCATTATCAATTTGAAATGTAACATGTAGCAATTCACTGCAATGCTAGCTTCGTTCTGGCTATGACCTATTATCATTTTTACATTTGACAACATATCGCTAATTAAATATCATGAGAGGAAGTGAGAACAAACAACAACAGAAATAGGCAGCAGGCATTTTGTAATCACGCCGGTGGCATTCAATGATGGCAGTGACCAGACTCTGTATTTCTAGGGACCCTTTTGTGTAGCAATGTTAAAACCTACCATTTCACCGTACAAACAATCCATTTTGAAATTGAACTTTTTTTGAGCCTGTAGGTACTTTGTAAATTGCAAGCTTGCAATATACAGGGCAATATTAAAATTACACAACATAGGTATGTATACGAGGGTGGATTGATAAGTTTCCGGCCTAACCAAGAGATGACGCCACTAGGCCTACCTTGAGGTGACATTCTATAGTACCATCCTTGGATAGCTTGTAGCTATAGTTTCAGCCCGATCTCCTTGCTAGTGTAGGTTTGACAGCACG